TGCTTTTGCATACTTATGCATATGCAGAAATGCACACTAGAAAGAGATTGTGTGTGCGTGTGTGTATTCGAAAACGAGTGAACTTTGTTACTCACTTTTATCTCAACAACCCGGAAAGCTAGGAGGCTAAAATTTTGGGTATGTGTTCCTACCCCGTGTGTCATCCTCCCATTTTAAAATTTCTGCTCATACGCGCGTAGATACCGCGTACGGACCCAGAAAAAATGCACAGATTTCTTTGGCGGGAAACGATTTCGGAAGATACAAATCTGAAACTTTGCAGAGATATTCTCTGTGCACGTGCAAGCTAGAGATTTCAAATTCAGCTGTCACGCACGTCAAACTTTGCAACTTGGTACTGTGCTAACTCAAAGACTTACCGGAAAATATGACTGTAATTTTGTCAATATGTTTATCACCCATATGGGAAATCGTGTACCTAAAATGAGTACTGATCTGCAATTGCGTCATGACCTAGGGCACATCAAACATATTTGTGGCAAAGTGGCCATTTCGCTTACCGGTTAAGGTGCGAGGCTGAAACTTCGCTTGGATATTCTATTTTCATGTGCGATCTTAATTCTGGTTGGAGGTGAAATTTACTGCTGGTGGGTATGAAAAATACTCAACTTTATCGAAGAATCAGAAACGAGTGCATTTTGCAGCGAACGACCGCCCTCATCCTCCTCCAATATGTAAATGAATTCATTTACAAATTGGATTTTTCGGCGAACGACCGCTTTAGCAATATTTCCACTTTCCAGTAAACTGAAAGTTTATATTTTTTCGAAGAGCAAGTATTTACCAGAAAAACGACCAGGCTTCATGCAAAAAACTGATAGTCATATTCCTGGAGGTCCATGCGGCCCTATAATGCAACACCTTCATCCCAAATGACGCCTTTTCTCTTACATGCCGCAAGAGGCTAAAGCACGACAAATATGAGTCCAAGCGTTAAGCTGGAGGGCTGGGATCATTCTTGCTATTAGCGGTTTGCGAGTTTAGTGCAAAAACGCACAATTGCACCAGCAAGCCTGGTGCGACCCAGTCTGGGTTTTTGGAAAAAAAAATTTGTCAGCATTTCATTAGGGGGTCTACGCCATCAGTTTCCGTTGGCTGACATTAGGATTTGCTTTAACTGTACCGCGAAGCTACAGATTTACCATATTACGGACGTGAAATAAGAGGAAAGCTGATGGAAGTTGGAGCTCATTACGAACCAACACTGTGCGATGAAGCTGAAGATCTGTATGAATTGCTTGCTTACAATAAACAGAAGCATCCTGCGATCCAGGGTAATTGTTTTTGAAAAAAATTTTATTTTGTGGTGAACATTCGAAGTACTTTGCAACCAGAATACGAATTTTACTAGCATAAAAGCCTTTTCTTGTTAGGGCTAAATTGTTCTATTCAAATTTTTTACAAATCAGGAAATATCTTACCAATGAGCATTTCCATTTCAGCTTCATTGCGTGATTCTTTTGGATTACAATGTAATTTTTGTAAAAATTAAGAATTGCTAAAATTCTTCACTGCTAGGCTTATGGACTGTAGATCTCGGTGTATCACGCTGGGACACTGTCACAAGCTGGTGCAATGAGGCCAAACTGTTTTCTTCCGGACTGAGTGTCATTAGCTGCCATCCGCTTTCTCTTTTATTAGCCTATTTTCTCTTTTACAATTAGCTAGCCTATTTTTTACTGTCACAATAGGCGTATCGGCACTGAACCACGCGGTGAGTCAAACTAATTTCACCATTTATTATCACTATTTCGTATCTTCGCCAATTCTGTAATCCCTAGTTTTATTACTAATTAATACATTTCAAGCTTCCCTAACCGGCAATTGATTTTGAGCAACTTTTGAGAAAGAGAGAGCCGTCGACTTCCTTACCAACAAGGGAGAAAGAGAAATTCATTTCGTCTCTTAACTTTCGGCTCGTTTGTGTTCATTGCCTACAAAACGCAGAATCCGAGCTCTTCAAAAACAAACACACTGAAAGCAGAAATGTCTATTTGCATAACCTTAAGAAAAATTTGTTTTGAGCAGAACGCTACAATATTTATTCGTTTCCCGCAAAAAAATATTCATCCCTCACAGTTTTACACTTATGTGTGGCCAAATCAAACAATATATAATCATCGTAATGAAAGCGATACACATGTAACAGGATGCACTATTATGTTTATATAG